AATAAAACATTATTAAAGGAAAGAGAATGATAAAAGAACAGGAATTAAGAAAACAAAAGATAATGATTGACATTGCGTTAAAATTGTTGAACATATATTTTGACTGGAAAGTAAAAAACCGGAAGAGAGTTCCACAAGCGGGAAAATGCGAGAGAAGAGACTCTTAGAATAGAACTTACGATTACATCTAGAAACTTCAACTTTAAATTGATGAGACCTAGTTGCCAATCAAGCATTACACGTAAATCCATGCGGTCGAGACACCAAGAAAGAGAGCAATATTAATTCTGCTATGTACAGAAAATGTGGCACAAGGCCAAAAGGAGGAATAGGGAAAAGGACAATATTTATCTGTCTTAACATTAAACTTAGCTAGCCCCAAGCACTGACCCAAACATACTACAAAATACCTAACACCAAAACAATATATTCTTACTTACCATTCGTACTACATTCACCATAATACCTCATTGTCTCTATGAAAGTCCTAACTAAACCCCATATGTACAATTTATTGTCGGGAGTGGGGAATAAAACAAAAAATTAAAAACTAGCCCCAATCAGTATTTACAATATGAAAACAAAACTATTTACAAGGAACTAAACAAAATAATGTTAGGAATAACCCCCCCCACACACACACACACACACACAGTCTCGAAATGTGGCAGAAACATCAGTTAACTGAACAAAATTAATGCGGGACTTTTAATGATATAAAATGAATCATTGGTCCCAAAACACTCACTCAAACGCACATTCATTCAGACACAACAACGAATGCGAAAATCACACTAGAAACGAAAGGCGCTCTGCATCTACCAGAGATATAACATCACTGACCATCTAAAACAAGGGAGGGGTTGGGGAATTAAACCAAAGAAAATGGGGACAGAAATAAAAGGGGCCAATGAGCATAGATCCACAAGGAGGAAAGCTCATTAGAACGATTGTTATGAAAATATTTATAGAGAGGAGCCCCGTGACGCCAGTGTGAAAATGACTGAAGTTGAGATGCCAGGGCTGAACCGATAACATTACAGACCCTTCTTTGGATTTTGTCTAGACATATAGCCGCCGCAGCAGACCAGATATGGCAGCAATATTCAATGGGCGGACGAATGGTAGATTTATAAGATGAATGAGCTTGGCTTTATTCAGTAAGTAAATTACTTTGGAGACCCGTTTCGTACAGTTTCACACATATATATATATATAATTTTCAAATGATTTATTTATTTTTTACAGCTTATCAACCCTTTGTGGATTATTTAAAGACGAAGCGTATCTTGTAAGTATAATCATTTTTTTTTTTTTTTTTTGCGAGTCAACAATTTTTGGGAATAACAGTGATCTTTTCAGATGCAAGTTATGCAATTTAACCCATAGCTAGGGGTTAAGAAATTGATTTACACCATCCCAGGGTTATTTGCGCGTAAAACGTTTCAGCTCATATACTTAATCACAGATGGGTATGATTTTGATCATAATCACTGCTGAAAGACCTTGGCTTTCTATGTTCTTAATGCTTCATGTGACCTTTATAAAATTATAAGAATATATATCTAAATGAAAATTCTAAAATTATATATATATATATATATATATTTATATATATATATATATATAGAGAGAGAGAGAGAGAGAGAGAGAGAGAGAGACAGAGTGAGAGAAATATGAAAGTTATGATTTTTCATAAAATAATTGATTTCCTGCATCATAATTCGATAAAATTTTGTCTAAAAAAATGAATTTTAATTTAATTTAAACTAATTTAATTTAGTTTTTTTTTTAAATGTCACTCCAGCACGTAATGTTAAAGTCATATATATGTATATGTCATTCTGAAACCTTCTTGAACTTTGTAGAATTTTATGGAAACTTCTAAAACTTATTTTTGTTTATTTTTAAGTTTGTACAAAATACGTAAGTACTACCAATCACATCATTAGTAAATTGAAAAATAAGTCTTCTGCAAGTTTGCAGTTTATGCTTATTTATAAGGTTGTATGTTATACTATAGCTATAAAGTGTTAAATGTGTTAAAAATACATAAGTTACATAATTAGCCAATTGAAAAATAAAGCTTCTGAAATATTTGGATTTCTTACCCTTATTGCGTTTAGCAATTTTCCAAGCGTGGCTTAGATGTGGCACAAGGCCGAAAGTAGGAAGCACCCAGTGAGGATCGAACTCACTACTCAGTTGTAATTGTTCTAGCGTGATAAGCTTGCTAACCATTACATCGCCTTGAGGTGCACGACCCTTATTGCGTATATGGTATAATCGAACTTTCAGTTAGGGCGGGGGTGAATTTTTTCAAGAACAGAAACAAATTAATACCTTTTCATGACAAAAGTTCATCGACACGGGAACATAGGGTCACAAAAATGTCATAAACCAAATATATATATATATATATATATATATATATATATATATATATAACCCGAATATATATATATATGAAAAAATATATATAAATATATATATAATGAATATATATATATATATATATATATATATATATATATATATCCTTTTCTAAATTTGACATTCAACACTATCACTTGATAAGACACCAGACGTGTTGAAACAAAATGGCTATTTTTGTAGTGATTTTATATCATATTTATGTTATAATTTTCGAATAAATAATTATATATATATATATATATATATATATATATATATATATATATATATATATACTTAGATACGAAAAGAATGAGATAGATATGATTGATTTGTTTTGTTTTATGTATTACCAACCCGTTGTTGTTTATTTAAAATCGAAACATATTTTGGATTATAAGGATAATTCTTTTTTGGTTAGTAAATATTGCATTAACAATTTTTTGAGAATAACAACGTTTTTTCCAGGTACATGTTCTACTATTTAACCCATAGCTGAGTGGGTGAAATGGTTTCATACCATTCCCATGGGTATTTGAGAACCTGATTGGAATTTGAATTCGGCTTTCTTATTCCGAGTTGCTTTCTAAATGGATGGAAATAGCAAATGACTTTGCAGACATTTTTAAACATACTACCTTCCATCAGCATGGCTGCTGCTAACCTCTAGGAGATCGACTCATTGCGCCTGCTCGGATTAACATTCTTGGTTGACATAAGTGGAAAGACTGCATTGAATCCATTGCTAGGTCAGCTGCTAAGAAATTTGGTTCACTGTGTCGTGTGAGACAATTTTTCTCTCCAGAATCTATTTTACATATCTATAAGGCTACCATTCGTCCATCTTTCAAGCATTACTGCCAGATATGATCCGGTGCTCCTGCTATAGATTTAGAGATTCTTGATAAAATCCAAAGAAGAATCAGCAATATTATTGTCCCTGACTTGGCGTCTCGGCTTCAGTCACCTTCTTAAAATTGCTTCCCTGAGGCATTTCTATAAATATGGTACTTGCTCGGGTGAGTTATTCACTATGGTACGGTAGACTTTATGAATTTAAGCGCAGTACTAGATCGGCAACAAGGTCTCATCAATTCACATTTGAGATGCTTTGATACAACCGTAAGTTTTATGCTTTTATCGCACTTTTAAATTGTGGAACTTTCTTCTGGCTCCATGCTTTCCAGTCAACTTTGATCTTCAAAAATGTAAATGCAATCTCAATCGTTTTCTAGTGTCCTCCTGGTTACTCTTCTATTGTTTTCTCTCCTTAATAATGTTTCTGTTTACTAATTCTTTCATACCCAGTAGTCCTTTCTGTCTTTGTGACTCTCATTTAGTTGTTTGTTTTACCAGCATATCAACCCTTTTGGGTTATTTAAGGCTGAAGAATTTGTTTGGTTTTTGTTTACTGCTTGTTGATCTTTTGTAAGTTTATTGTTTTCGAGATATAGGTACAGGTGTTGTGATTTAGTGCATGATAATTATATGCTATCTTCTTTTCCGACTATATTTTGTTATATAATTTTGTTGCTTTTTAGAAATTCTAAAAGGTCATTTGGGTCAGTTTTGTTGAAGATGTCTTTCAGATTGTTTTCTTGATAGTATCTTAGTCGTATTTGTTCAAGATCTATGCAGCTTGTTAGTAAATGTTTTCGCTGTGTAGAGCTCCTGACATGGAATGCAAATTGGGACCTCTTCACCCTTCAGCAGGTGTGAATAGGTGACAGCGCTGTGGCCAATTTGAAATCTAGTCATTACTACTTCTTTTCTTGACATTGTCCTGATGGAAATTTTAGCTTCTATCCGTTCTAGGGGGAATTCGATGAAAAAAAAAATAGATGGTTATGAATTCGACGTGGAACACGAAAACTTTAGAATGGGAGATATTTCAAAAGAATATTTGACCTATGAGTCAGTCAAAAATTCAAGTTCATCTTGAAAAGTGTCTGAAAGAGAACTCGGTTTAATTCAGAATCAACTGAATATAGAAAGCAAAAAATTTCATAAAATGTGGATGACGTGCCGAAAGCGCGAGAGACTTGCCCACGTTCACATTAAATTTCTCCCGCTTGCATAACCCTCAGGGATTACACGTATTCCAGTTTAGAAACCCCCTGCAGATTATTACCGCAGTATTCTAAAAACACTTTTTAATCAAATGAATACATGTGCGATTGCTGCTACAACTATTACTACTAGAAAAAAACCGTGAAAATTACAGTTTTCCTATTTTCATTTTCTGATGAATCTTAATTCTTAAGTTAAATATTGATTAAGCTCGTGGCGAGTTCTGCGTCAATAGAATATCCGTAGAGATTCTCCTATCGTATCGTTAAATACTTGAGCTTAACTTTAACAATATATTGCAATAATAATCATAAATACGAATTCTGGTCGTTATTTTAAGAAGTGGGTACAAATGAAAAGATTTGAAATTGACCAGTTTTCTCATTTCATTGAAATAAACTTTAAACACTTCTATCTTACATTCTTTCTTTCTTTCTTTCTCTCTTTTATTCATGTTTCGTTTTTCTATGCAGTGAAAACGGGATAGTCTATTATTTATGAGCTATTGGCAGGAGATGTTAAAATCTTCTTTCTTTCTTTCTCTCTTTCTTTCTTTATTTCTTTCCTGCCTGCTTTCTTTCTTTCTTTATTTCTTTATTTATTTCTTACATCATTTAACACTTTCGTTTTCTTTGTTTCTTTCTTTTTTGTTTGTTTCTTTCTTTCTTTCTTTCACATGCCTAGCATTCGTTCTTTCTGTCGCTTTTACATCATTTATCCCTTACTTCTTACTTGATATTTCTTTCTTTCTTTCTTTCTTTCTTTCTTTCTTTTACAGCCTCTCTGGTTTTCCCCCCTGGATATTCTAAAAATATATCGACAGATAATCTCTTACTAATTATCTTTCTCTTTCTGTCTTTATTCGAGACTCATTCTTTCTCATTTTCTATTGTCTTAAAAACCCTCTTATCTCCGTTAATCTCTCTCACATTTCTTTCTTTCTTTCTTTCTTTCTTTCTTTCTATCTATCTATCTATCTATCTATCTATTTTTATCAGTCTATCACTCTTTCTATCGCGCCCTTTCACTATCTATCTATCTATCTATCTATCTATCTATCTATCTATCTATCTATCTATCTATCTATCTATGTTTCAGTTTATTACTCTTTCTCTCTCTTACATTTCTATCTATCTATCTATCTATCTATCTATCTATCTATCTATCTATCTATCTATGTTTCAGTTTATTACTCTTTCTCTCTCTTACATTTCTATCTATCTATCTATCTATCTATCTATCTATCTATCTATGTATGTTTCAGTTTATTACTCTTTCTCTCTCTTACATTTCTATCTATCTATCTATCTATCTATCTATCTATCTATCTATCTATCTATCTATCTATCTATCTCATTACATTCTTTTCTTTTCTATCTATCTATCTATCTATCTATCTCAGTCTAGTCATATCTATCTATCTATCTATCTATCTATCTATCTATCTATCTATCTATCTATTTTTATCAGTCTATCACTCTTTCTATCGCGCCCTTTCACTATCTATCTATCTATCTATCTATCTATCTATCTATCTATCTATCAGTTTATTACGCTTTCTCTCTCTCACCTTATTTTCTATCTCTGTTTCAGCTTTTTACTCTTTCACTATCTAACATTTCTTTCTTTCTTTCTAGCCAAATCCCCGTCTTACGAACATCTCTCTTAATAATAATTTCAAAATAATTCAGCAGACGATGTTATTCTATTTAACGTAACTGTTTTTTTTTTTGGGGGGGCGATTGCTTTACTCAGTTAATGTCGTTCGATAATCTGCATTTGAAAAATGGCGATTTTTTGTAATATTATTTAAGCATCACAACTCAGCCTTTTGGCCTGATATGCAGTGACCAGCTAAGATAGGTTTTATGCCCGAACCCGCGTAAGCGGAGGCTAAGTAAATTTTAACCATGGCCCGATTATAAACGCTCGGGTTCCCCACGTTAAACAATTAATCTTGTGCCGCATCCTAAACCCAATGGTGGGGGTTGGAGGTGAATACCTCGCTTCTCGGTCTACTGACTGGGATCAAACTGTAGTATCAGTTCCTATCAGCTTAATCTGATTCTCTATCATCTATCTCTACTTCTATCTTTCCTTTCTCCTTCCTTACATTTTCTCCCTGAAACCAAGTAGCACCCCAAACGTTTATGGTCGTTGAATATAAAAACGATATGTCTATTTTCTTACGATAAAAAGCAACAATAATAAAATGAACAAAAAGCCCAAAACAAATAATTCTGCAAGGAATTCGTATAATTAAAGTCTTTGCATTTTCCCTCACAAGAAATTCATGTTCAAAATCCAATTACTCTCACCGGTTGTTTTCTAAACTTCGGTTCTCATTATTCAGTCTTCAAGTTTGATCAACCTGAACACCGGAGATCACTCTTCTAGCAGTACCTCCGCGTCTCACTTCAAGGAATTCGCTGGTATCTGTGAAAATCGCGTATTATATCAGCAACCAGATACCTTTCCAGAGGGTGTGGAGCGGCGTGTGTTTACATTAAAATACAATGTGTCTCCTTTGACATCAAATAGATATGTAAATAAATAATTGACACTACGGTCAAAGGCTTTAGCCAGAGGCAGGTTTATGATAACGAATTACGTGAAGTGTGGGCGTATTAACCCAGTAGTCAAGATTAGTGAGAATAAATGTAGCTAGAGACTGATACCAGTGGGTCGAAAAAGAGAAATATTTCGTGTTAATGCGATGCAGGAAAATAAGAAGTCCCTAATTTATCCAGTATCCTCATCGACTACGTGGAAAGGTATCCATTAGAAAAAAATTAAAAATAACCCCGCCCAGTCTGGATCTGACACGAAACCTCAGCGTCTTTTTTCCGATGCCCAAACCACTGAACCAAACACGCCATAGTTAGTAGTAGTTGTAGTAGTATCATTGTTGTTGTCTGGAATGCTGTGCTATGTTGTACTTTACTGTTGTTGTTGTTGTCGCTGTTGTTGTTGTTGTTGTTGTTGTTTAAACTGTTGTGATGATGCAAGGTGGTTTCAGAAAATGGCTTCCAGGAAGCAATAGGGATGAGTGGTGGGGGTCTGTGAGGAGACAGGAGAAAAGGTGGGTCATTCGTGAACGTTTGGCTGGTGCCCTAATAGCGTTGCAGACAGATCCCAGGACAGGGTTACGTACAAGTGAGTCATTCGGTTAGGCATACTTGTGGCGGGAAATCGGGGATAGTGAATGATGTGGAGGTTGTTTTCAAATAGGGAGCAAGAGGGTTACTAGGGCGAAGCGGAGAGAAGGCGGGGAGGTAAAATAATAGATTGCTTGGAAGGGACCGCCATAGTGAGACAGATCGATTGGCAAAGGACGAGATTGCAACGCGCGACGCACTCTAATGATTAGCGTGCTGCCCTCGCAAGCTACTGATAGTAAATTAGATTCACAGACAACGTTCAATCAATTGTAGGGAGTCGTAAGAGTAGGATTACCTTAGGGAAACTGATTCATAGGCAAGCGAATATTTAGGGTAAGTAGATTATATTCTAGATTTTATAAGTACGTATATGCACTACTTTGTTAACCAGCCTTTCAAGGATCTGCCAGATTGAATAATTCGGAATTCAAAATCCTGACTTTTACCTGGGATCGAACTGTGATCTCTGACATAGGAATAAATTAATGTTTCATGATATTAACATGCTTAGGCCCACGAGAATATAAGACCCTACATCAGTAGGGAATATGAAGAAAAATAGTTTATTTACAGGTGAGCATTGGAAACTGCTCCCAAGAGGAAGTTTCCCCGATCAGTACAATCCTCACCTGTTCAAACCTAGGGTTAACCATTATCTTCACCACATATTCCCATAAATACGTTCTTCTTACTCTGTCACCCTCTACTTCGAGTGGAACTTAGGCCTTGTACAGTGTGAACATCATTGTAAAAACAGAAACATTTAACATTGTTGGAAAAATATTTAAATAATATAATTAGCCTACATCCAAATATATAAACGATTTTTAATAAGCAATTCGTTTATTAGCAACTATACTCAAATTTGTATATATCTTAAGCAAAATCTACTACTGACATCTTGTCGTATGTGCCGCGTCCATTCAGGATATTGGCAATCATGGCTCTCCCCATTTTCCTATCTTTTGTAGCTCTTAAGAAATTTTGTCTTTTTGATATTTTTCTCTCCTAATCTTTGTTCTGCGTCCTGGGTATGGCGATAAACTACATCCGAGTCCTGGGTATGACGATAAACTGCATCCGCGTCCTGGGTAAGACGATAAACTACGTCCAACAGCAAGGCCTCTGATCAGGAGGTTTTGAGAAGCGTGGAACCACCCCTTAATTGTTGGTGTTCCCAGGTCCATTCTGACCCGAGGTGGTAGCACCTGTTAGGGTCCCAGCTTTGGGCAAATAGTTAACCCCGAAACTGAGGTAAAAAGCATTATAAAATATTACCAGCAATAAGTTTTTAAAGAAAAAAAAACTATTACCAGCAATACGTTTTTGAAAAAAACTATTGCCAGCAATAAGTTTTTGAAAAAAAATATTACCAACTATACGTTTTTGAAAAAATAATATTAACAGCTACAAAACAAAAATATTACCAGGAAAAAAAAGAGTTGTCGGCATTAAATGACCCATTGAGGTTGATATGCCGTAAAACAAAACAAACCAAACCAAACCTAATCCTTGTTCTACCTACCATTTACACAAACTCCTCCTCCTCCTCCTTCTTCTTCTTCTATTAGGTTGGTGCAAAAATAATGACGTAATAATGTCGTTTTTGACGTATTTTTTAAGGTCAAAAAACGACATTATTACGTCATTATTTTTGCACCAACCTAATATGTGTCGTGTTCCTTCAGATCATGGTAGATCATGGCTCTCCACAACTTCCTTTACTTTGTAGCTCTTAGTATTTTTCTTTTTACTCTCTCTCTAAATCCCTGTTCAGCCAACCAGCCACGTTATTCGCTGATTTCCTCTGTCCCTAAACTTTCCTTGTGAGTGTCAACTTTTCTAAGACGTAAGTGGATGTAGCTGAAGGTATTAGGTTGGTGCAAAATAATGACGTAGTAATGTCGTTTTTTGACGTATTTTTTAAGGTCAAAAACGACATTATTACGTCATTATTTTTGCACCAACCTAATAGAAAGAAGTGAAGATCAATTGGCCCTGGACTTGAAAATTGTAGGGTAGTGTTCAGGAAAGTAAATCCACGTGGGTGTTTGCTCCACAGAGTAGTAATTCTCGGGAAGATTCTTACGCAAAAATTACCCTCCATTCCACCCCGAGTACTAGTCAAAATCCAAAGTTGCTTAAATTGTGTAGCTGAAGCGCCATTTTATTAGGTTGGTGCAAAAATAATGACGTAATAATGTCGTTTTTGACGTATTTTTTAAGGTCAAAAAACGACATTATTACGTCATTATTTTTGCACCAACCTAAGAGGTTGAGTGCGAAACGAAGATATTTGGCCCGGAAAATCCAGCTTGCTTAAGTGTTACAATGAAGCCTTTGTGATAGAAATATTTAGATTTGTCGGTAGCGCAACAGCTACGAGCACAGAAAATGTAATCCTTGAGTTCAGTTGCCAGCCGCTTGGGAATATCAGTTGCTGTATGTTTGGATGTGCGGCAGGTGTAATGTCTAATGGCTCGGAATTGTTAATCGGAGAACCGAGTTCCATTCCCAGTTGAGTTCATTATATTCACTTACGCGCAAATACCGTTGGGAAAGATATGAATCCACCTCTTCTCCCCCCAGCTATGGATTAATTAGTAAGACTTGTATCACTAAATCCTTATTATCTCCTCAAAAAAATTCTTACAATCTAAGAATATTTTCTGGGTTTAAATAACCTGCAAAGGGTTGATAAACAATAGAAAAAAATATATATATATAAAACAGTAGAATATATATATATATATATATATATATATATATATATATATATATATATATATATATATATATATATATATGAATGTAATGAGAAGGAGAATAATATATAAATTCTAACGTTCACAGCATTAATTACAAAAATGGTTCAATACCGATAGTAGAAAAATAATTATTTATTATAATTTTTTCATATAGACAAAAACAATTTACTCACTGCAAAGATACAACTTCGTTTTGGCTGGTACGATAATTTTCAAAAAACAGACAGTTTTTGTTAACCAACATAGTTATTATATTATTAGATAACCATTTTGGTCTCACCAGTCGAAGTGCAACTAAATACAACCAAACGAAGTTGCATCTCTGTAACGAGTAAATTTTTTATATATATATATATATATATATATATATATATATATATATATATATATATATATATATTTCGTCATTTCCTTTTTAGCCAGCTTACCCTGAAGATCCGTTTAGATGAAACCTAGGTAAGTTTTTCCTGGCACTTTAGGATATATATATATATATATATATATATATATATATATATATATATATATATATATATATATATATATAAAAGAGGAATAACAGTAAGATTTATAATCCAGTGTTCTTATTAATTATTTTTATTTTTAAAGAACAGTGCTCAATACAATTTTGCAGAGCATAAATATAATACATATATTAATATATATATATTAAGACATTTTTATGTCTATACGTTCTTTTTCTAAAGATACACATATTTAAGTAAATGCTCTGTTTATAATAAATAGTATTAACAGCATTTACCGGCCTGAACGTCCGAGAAATTTTCTTAGAAGATATGCGTCCCCTGGCAGGAATCGAACCTTCATCCTTGCAGAGAACCGTCATATAGCCTGACTTGTTTTACCGATTTAGCCACAGAGGAGCGTTTCGGTTAGCCAGGTCGATTTTACTGCTTTTAAACTACAATTCTCCATGATTTTCTCTCGTACATCCATATCCAAATTATCCAAATGTAAACAAATGACGTCATACATTATGAAATGGACAAAGTCCGACAATTATTTTAAGTCATTTTTTAAAATGTCTTAAAATAATTGTCAGACTTTGTCCATTTCATAATTTGTGACGTCATATATTTGAAAATTATTGTACCAACGATAGATGAATTGTTTAAATGGCAGTGATTTCGCAAAATGTGTTAAAAAACCCCATTACTCATCAGTAACAGAATTCGTTTTTTGTAATTCAATGCCAGAAAAGGCATTCTGCTGACAACTTACGTCGTTGCTTAACCGAATTCTCAGTGGCAATGGAAATATTGGTGCCGTGGAATGTCTTAATGTCTCACTGTCAAACAAATTGATACTTCTCTTATGTTATTGTAATAAACTTCAAGAGTGTTTCTATAAAACAGTGTATAGTACTTATCCGTGACTACATAATACTAACCTTGAATGTACGTATGTGTATTCGTGCGATACACCTGAAATGATATATATAATACTGTTACGGTAAATTACACATACACGGATAGACTCTTCCAAGTTACAAATAAAAAGCAGTCACTGCTTTTTGTCAGTGGAGGGTTTCTTTTCCCCCCAACAATCAGCTCTGGCAGTTCAGACTTAACATTCTTGCTCGTTTGTATATTATTGTATTACCGATTTTCGTTAATATATTTGTTAACTCAAATCTACTCTTGTGTCTTTATTCTGGCCCCAACAAGGCCACAACAAATACCGCAACCAATTTAGAGATATATTGTACCTTGAACCCCTGCCTAGGGCAGTGCTAAATTTGATTAAAATTAGACAAGGGGTTCTTTAGCTATGGCACCTTTTCTGTTTTTACTGCATTTTTAATAGGAAACTCGATATTTGTTTTCGATACACATTATTTTATTACAGAATGGTCCATTATTTATCTGTGGCAATGCCAAGGTGTAACGCATACAATTTATTAACTAATGGAAGAACAAGCAGAACTATATATATATATATATGTGTGTGTGTGTGTGTGTGTGTGTGTGTGTGTGTGTGTGTGTGTGTGTGTGTGTGCGAACCCTACCAAAAAGCCCCTCGGGAAAAATACAGTATGAAAAGTTGTCGACTTGACCCACTTCGCAAAGTCATTATTATGATGTTTGATTATTGAAATAGTGCTTTTGGGAAGCGGGGCTGATCGAGAGTGTGAAGCACTTCTCGTAGAGCGCTGTTTGGCAAACTGATCTAAAAGGCCATTGCTAATGTAACCAATTCGATCAACAGTGTGTGCTCCACTGCTGTGGCCTTGAGCCAGGCCAATTTACGCCCTTATAAGGATGTACGCTGTATTATATATGCGGGCGAACCTAACAATTGTTGACATCGGCGCGAACGCAGACCTTGCACATTGCATCGCATTACAACACGGCTGAGTAATTTTTGCAGACAGAAAGGCAGTCAGACACGCGGTACGCGTCAGTTTAAGGAATTCGCCCCTGCTCTTCACTTTCCTTTCCTCACCCACTTCCATTCGTCTCTTCCTTATTCTTCCCCGTCCGGCCGGCCAACCGCCACAGTTTATTGACCTCTTTTTCGCTTGGAATCAAGAATGGAAGAAATGACGTGGAGGCAAGGAAGAGTAAACCGGAGAATATTGGGTGAAAAAAAAAAAAAGCAATGAGAGGATGGGGATAGGAGAGAAAGGAAGAGTGATGGGGAGGAGAAACGAATGTGCCCACGGGCAGAATAGTGATAATAAAGAAAAGAAGGATAAAAAAGGCTTGGAAAACAGAGAGGGATAAAATTAGGAAAGAGAAAGAGAAGAGAGAAAGATGCAATCAAGAATAGAGAAAGGGAAAATAACTGGAAAAGTAAAGACAGTGGGAGGGTTTAAGTGAAATACAGAGAGTGAAGATAGGGAGGAACGTAAAGTGAGTAAGAAGAAGGGAGAAAAGGAATTGGTAAGAGTGAAACGGGAGGAGTTAAAGGGAATCACTGGATAGTAAAGAGGAAGAGTTGAATTGTGCTAGTGGAGAGTAAGAGGGATAATTTGACAAAGTTAGTCGAGTGTGAGAAGAGGAATCTAGCGAGGAAAGGACCATAATTGATAGAAAGGAAGAAGTTGAAGAAAAGAAGAATGAAGTCAGGAAATGGATGAATGAAAATCAAGGCCAATGGGATCAATGATGAATGAAAGAAGAAGTTGGGAAAATGGCGATAATGAGGCGTCGAAATAGAAGAAAATTTCAGAGGGGAAAGTTAAATGAAATAAAAAGAAAGAAAGAACATGAAAGTGAAATAAAAGAAATAAGGAGAGGAATTATATATATATATATATATATATATATATATATATATATATATATATAAAATGAGAATGGAAAACTGAAAAATGAGAGAGTAAAAGAATGAATGCATAAATAAATGAATGAGTAAATGAGTGAGGAGAAAGAAAGAAAGAAAGAAAGAAAGAAAGAAAGAAAGAACGATATGGAGAGTAAGATGAGGTCAACGTGAGCTGGAACTAAAATAAAGAGGAAGAACAATATAATAATAACTGTAGGGGTCACCCAAGAAAGAAAGAAAGAAAGAAAGAAAGAAAGAAAGAAAGAAAGAAAGAAAGAAAGAAAAAGAGAAAGAAAGAAAAAACAGCTGGATGCAAAGAAAGAAAGAAAGAAAGAAAGAAAGAACAAACAATATGGAGAGTAAGACGGGATCAATGTGAGCTGGGATTAAAATGGAGAGTAAGAACAATATAATAAGAACTGTAGGGGTCACCCAAGAAAGAAAGAAAGAAAGAAAAAGAAAGAAAGAAAAAAGAGAAAGAAAGAAAAAACAGCTGGATGCAAAGAAAGAAAGAAAGAAAGAAAGCTGGATGCAAAGAAAGAAAGAAAGAAAGAAAGAAAGAAAGAAAGAAAGAAAGAAAGAGAAAGAAAACACGTAGAAGAAGGAAATTACGAATAAGTATGGAAAAGCGGAAATATTGTAAGAAATCGTGCAGTGAAGAAGGCAAACGGAATGACATTTCGGGAAGAAGTTAAACAAAGGAGAAAGAAAACAAAAAAAGGGACGAATAAAAAAAAATGGAAAGTAAACAGACGGTAAGGAGCATAGTGACAAAAAGGGAGAGCAAGGATAATGTAAGAACGATTGTAAATCAGTAGAAAAGAATGCAATGATGAAACAGATGAATTAAAAACAAGGCCAATGGGATCAATGACGAAAGAAAACAGGGTGTGTATTAATGAGAAGAAACTAAATAAAGGAGTTCTTCGACCAAAATAAAAATAAGATAAGCAGATTGAATATAGGAGATGTCAGAATGCTTTGAAAATAAAAAGACCAGCAATGTCTACCATAACAAAATACTTAGCAAGTCCGTCTCACAGACTGATTCGCTAATCTTTTTAAGTTCAGTTTCCATATGGTTCCCCATTACATTAGTCTTGTGTCAGATTAACATAACGCTAGTAAATACAGACTGCTACGGTAGTTGTATAACAGTCAAGACTCTGAATGCTGATTTTCAAGCATATCTTACTTGAAAGACATGCAACACGAGCTTTCTGCTCAGCAATCGTTTGGCACTGTGCCAGACTAAGATAACCTGAAATCTTTTTTTTTTTTTAAGCCCTGGAGTTAAAGCGAATAAACAGAATGAGTTAAGGAAAGCGAAGTGGAAAAACCGCAAATAGACCAAGAAGTTCGAAAATGTCAAATAGAAGAGTAAGGTTGCAAGAAAAGGAGAGTAAAGGGAGAGCAGATGAAAATGTGCATGAAAAGAGAGAGAAAAGGTAGAGAAATCAAAGAAGCTCGATGCAGAGCAATGAAGGGGAATTTCTTTCTAGGAGGATTGGGAAGAGGTTACACCATTAGGGGAGAGAAGAAGATGCAAAGTAAAGACGAGTGTGGAATATATTGACTTATTGAAAGGCAAGAAAAAAGACGGTTTATCGATTAGACGCAGAGAGCGCGCGAATAATATTTGAAGAGAGCAGATGGAAACATTTTTAAAAAGGGAGCGGGAAAAATAAGGAACGTAAGAATGAGAGTGAAACAAAATGCGAATAAAATCTGCAGAGAGGAACGAAAACAGGAATATAAAAAATGGTAGACAGAGATTAACAGTAAAAATGGGTGGGCGAGCCGTGAACAAGAGAAATATGCAGAAAAAGTCGGGTAAAAGGTGACCATGAACGGCAGACGTAGAGGAAAACAGAAAAGGAATATTAAAGGGGATAAGTTTATTTCTGATATGAAAATAAAGAATGCATTTGTAAAGTTCCATAGAAAGAAAAAAAGAAGGAATGTGTGTGTGAGAGGGTGAAAAAACAGAGGGAATAATAAAATATAGGAGAAAGAAAGAAAGAAAGAGTATGAGAAAATTAATGAACGAATGAGAAAGAAAGAAAGAAAGAAAGAAAGAACAAGGAGATTAAGACGAGATCAACTTCAGTCGGAACTAAAAGGGAGAGAAAGGATAATATAATGATGAGGGTAAGGATCAGTAAAAGAAAGAAAGAGAGAGGGAAAGAAAAAAGACCAATATGGAGAGTAAGACAAGATCAATGTAAGCTGGAACTAAAATGGAGAGCAAAGATGATATAATAAAGTGCGTAAGGATCAGTAAAAGAAAGAGAAGAAAGAACGAAGGAAAGAAAGAAAAAAAAAAAGAAAGAACAACATGGAGAGTAAAACGAGATCGACGTACGCCAGAACTAAAATGGAGAGCAAGGATAATATAATAAACAGCGTACAGAACAGTAACAAAAAAAAAGAGAAAAAAAAGAAAGAATTAGAAAAGATAAAATACAAAACACGCAGAATCGGCATGAAGCAGAAGAGCAGAAATAAATACAGAAAATAAAACTGAATATATATATATATATATATATATATATATATATATATATGTGTGTGTGTGTGTGTGTGTGTCGGAGATCAGTAGAAAAGAAAGACGGGAATATTTCGGAAAATAGTTAAACAACGTAGAAATTAAACAGAAAAGAAGAGTAAAAAAAATGCAGAGTATATGGGCGATATGGAGAGCAGGGACTAAGAAGGAGAGTAAGGATATCGTAATAACGATTGCCGATGAGAAAAGAGAAAAGAAAACATTGGGACAAAGAGAGAAAGCTAGAAAGTGTAGAAAGTTAAGTCATAACAGGGAATTAGGAGAGTGGGAAAGAGAGAGAGACAAGGGTTGAGATGATGTAAGAACGGGAATAGAACAGAAAATAGACAATATAAAAAGGTCGAGAAATAGGAGAAATTGATGCAAAAGAAAAGACTGAGTTAAAGGGGAGAACATGGAAAGCATTAAAGTAGGGGTAATGTAATGACAGATGTAGGAGGAAAAATCCTAAGTGAAAAATGGAAAAGAAACAGAGAGGAGGGGAATAATAATAATAATAATAATAATAATGCGAAGGTAAAACTTAGTAAAGGCGAGTGAAAGAAGCAAACGTTTCAGCGTGTTGTAATTTAAGGGAAAATAACATAATAGGGGGCTACTTTCCTGATTCTTCCGGACAAGGACGCATGCGTAGGCGACTGCGTAGGTGTGCCAGAGAATCGTATATATCTGTGTGTGTCTAGCGTATATGCATGTACACATTTCTGTGTGTGTACGCATGCACTTGTGCAAAAGTGTTCTAATGTCTATGTGAGCACTATTAGAACATCCTTTTTTTTATTGGCCTGAATAAAATAAAAATAAACAAAGTGGTCATCATCGAAACGAGACAGCGTATATGTGCCTCCTCATGAAGGTGGAAGGGGTTGTCGGCTTTAACAACTGCGTTTCCCGATTTCCGTTTTTCAAGACGGCATCAACAGTCTTTTCGCGCGTGCGCGCGAGCACGCATGCGTGTATCTTGCTATTATAATACGCCCAAATATGGCTCCGGGCATTTGCCTTTGGGGCCGAATAAAACCAATAATACTTTTTAAAGTCAAAACCAGCGTGTGAGCAGGACACAAACGCACAATATAGGCGCGAGTTATATGAGAATGTAAAGCTTTTGGTGAATGTTAACGGCAAATGAATATATTTGTGTATATAAAAATTGTCATATGTGAAAAATATATGTTAATCGTCTTCAAAGTTTACAAACATCTTTAAAAAAAATAGGGTCAAAAATTTTAAATCGTATCTTTTCCGCTGGAAAATTTCACACACACATACATGCATAGATACATACATACATACACGCACATATACATAGATACATACATACATGCACACACATATACATAGATACATACATACATGCACGCACGAACGCACACACGCATACATAACACAAACATAAACAAATATATATATATCTATATATATATATATATATACAAAATATAATTTTAAGATAATCTATATTTATGAATTAAAGTGCTCAGTATCAGAAATAGAGCGTATATGGCCTAACGATTGTGTTTAGCGTGAAGCAGACTGTTGCGTCTGTGTGTTGACTTCAATGTCCTTTTTATATATATATATATATATATATATATATATATATATATATATATATATATTAAGTCCAAAATTTTAAATAACAAAATAACGTATAAACAGAAAAATATATGTGTGTGTGTGTGTTTTCTTTATGTGTGCAGGTTTGTGTGTATGGATGTATTTGTGTGTGTGTGTGCGCGTAGTGTTTAGTTTATTCTTATATATATATATATATATATATATATATATATATATAAAAGAATATATATATATATATATATATATATATATATATATATATATATATATAAGAATAAACTAAACACTACAACACACACACACACATAAATACATCCATACACACAAACATGCACACATAAACACACACACAGATAGATAGATAGATAGATAGATAGATAGATAGATAGATAGATAGATAGAATCGCGGACTGATGATTGCACCAAGCATGAAACAGCTTGTCACCTCTGTCTATCTCTAAAATTGAGCACTTCGTCTCATAAATATAGCACACCTTAAAACTATATTTCTGCATATATATATATATATATATATATATATATATATATATATATATATATATCGTTGAATAAGACAGACTGACAAGGAAAATTTAATTCATTTTTTTTACTGTGTTTTTTCTAGGTTCTTCCGTATGAAAGAAGTAAGGGAGTATATTAATTGACCCTATTGTTTATTTTTCCAAGCACTTTCAGCCACTTCTTTAGCCATTAGTTAACAACCAACAAATCCTGGTAAATACCAAGAAAAGTGGCTGAAAGCGATTGAGACAATCGACATGAAGGAACTTTTTCACACATTTCTAACTCCCACCAAAAGTTAAAATTTAAGAATACTAGAGAAACTAAATAAAAAACACATCAAATTATCCATGCCTGTCATATTCAACAAAACATGTTTGAAAAAAAATTATATATAATTTGGAGTAATGGATAACAAATAGGAATCGGGGAGCCATTAAATTCACTTGCGTTCTAAAACCCTTGGGAAAGGAAGAAATTCTCTTCTTCTCCCTCCAGCTATGGGTAAATAGCAGGACAGACTGGGTTCTATAGCCTTGGATTGCAAATCGTCTACCGCAAAAAGAAATGGCAACCTACTGCGGGAAAAAATATACGTTGTCACATGTATCGAAAGATACATGATAGATACATGATACCTAAGCGTATCACGATCACGCTGGGTACATAAATATTTATATATATATATATATATATATATATATATATATATATATATATATATATATTTTTATATATATATATAACTATTTATATATATATATATGTAGTTGTTATATATAATTCAGCTGAAAGGGCTAGATGAAACCGTAAGTTTTATGCTAACAGTTTCTTCGTGAAACGCTCTTATATTTGCCTGACAAACATTGCTCATTAAAAATGTAAATACAATGTCAATGGTTATCTTCTGCTGTTCGTTTATTATCTATCTATATCTATATCAATCTATCTATCTATCTATCTATCTATCTATATATATATATATATATATATATATATATATATATATATATATTCCATGTTTGTTATTCATGAACAAAAATACAACCCTCTAAGTGTTATACAATGTGCCTGAAAATGGCTATTGTACTTATTCATTTTAATGGTATATATATATATATATATATATATATATATATATATATATATTTTGTGTGTGTGTGTGTGTGTGCGCGTGTGTGTAAGAGGATGCTGAAAGTTTGTGCCTCAACCAAAATGGCTTTTCGTGCAAAAATTGTGATGTTTGGTCATTTCCTCAATATTTTGCCAAGATTCCTTCATATTTACATACATACATACACACACACACACACACACACACACACATATATATATATATATATTTGTGTGTGTATGTGTGTGTATATATATATATATATATATATATATATATATATATATATATATATATATATATATATATATATATATATACACACGCACGCACACAGACACACATATATATATATATATATATATATATATATATATATATATATATATATAATGGCGGCGATTAGGTTATAAAAAAGAAGGAAAATATCATACGGAAAATATATAAAAGAAAAGAGATATTAATGTGTCTCTATCTCTGATCCTCTCCTATTTTTCTGATGGAATATGTTTTCAGGTTCGATTCATGTCGGGACGTAGTCATTCTTTAGTAGGACTTCTCAATCAAAGCCGGTTGTTATTAATTTCACTGTCTAATAAAATTAAACAAACAACAGGGCTAGCAGCTCAAATATGTGTCAAAATATCGTTATAAGAAATATCTATATATAAAAAAAACTGTTTAAAATTTACTATATTTCTGTGAATATAGGTATAGGGACTGTCGATATCGGAATCAACACCATATGGTGACTGTCAGTTTCACACCACAAGATATTTATAGATAGATAGATAGATAGATATGAACCTTAAGAGCCAGGTAATCCTTAGCGTATTGAGCACTTTATGTAGTTACTTTTGCTTTACTCGTTTTGGAGGTGTTTTTTTTCCTTTGGACTCTGAACTTGAATTCTGGACGATTGTTTTCGCCTCAATTTTATGGTCTTTCTTTTTTTTTATCCCTTATTTTCCCTTGGACATTGGTTTGTTCAATTACAAGACAAAATACCTAAGGTTTTTCCAAATTAGTATAACTATTATTATTATTATTATTATTATATATAGTTGTTATATATATATATATATAATTCGAAGAGAATTGGTTTAACTATAACATCAAAACAAAATAATATTTTGGTTATGGCTTATATTTAACAATTTAACAAACTCATATCTATATAATATATATAATATATATATATATATATATATATATATATATATATATATGAGATGACATGATATGATATTATTTAAAATTTACTATGTTTATGTGTGAAAGTACTTGTTATCCGGTGAATAATGTTTGTAAACATAAACACTGTAAGCAAACCAAATCAACACACCATAATGGCTGATTGTTTTCTGATTTGAACGGTCATATATGTAGACCGCTGTGTGTGGGGTATATATCTATATATGCGCAAGTGCGTGTATGTGTCTGTGTCGATGTGAATATCTGTATATGTATTTCAATATAATTTCCCATCTCCTTTCGCAATGCTTACATACAGAGTATGTTTTATACAGACAGCTTCACCGCAGAATTATTGCTTTGTGGTATAGACTCCCAAGAGGATGCTTCCTTGAAAACGACAATCCTGTTCTCTCTAATTCCACCGATATCTATCCTACAAGTCCTCGTATGCCTCAATATGCATTTCTTATTCCTCCTTCTCACTTCTTTCCAACAATCCCACTCAAAACCCTTGTGTGGCACTTAGGCCTTGTATTGGCTGAGCATTTTATATATATATATATATATAGTCACTTACGTTTTTTTCAGTATATACTCATACACACTTATATATTGTTATATACAATAACATGCCAAAAAAATTCTCAGCCCAATCCAATTCCCAAAAGTGGACTGGACTAAGAATGATATATATATATATATATATATATATATATATATATATATATATATATTATATTTGTCTGCCATATTCTACGAAATATGTTTGAAAGAATGGTTGGTTTCAAAATATATACTATATATATATATGTGTGTGTGCGTATGCTGTTGTGAAAATGCCAATCAAGATATTTATTCATCTTTTAAATGCATAAACACAAATATTTGTCTTCATAGATAGATAGATAGATAGATAGATAGATAGATAGATAGATCTATTTTGAGGTTCACCATTCAAAATCCTAGCTTCTTTCTCGACTCAAACATTAACAATTGCTATCGGATAGATAGATAGATAGATAGATAGATAGATAGAGAGAGAGAGAGAGAGAGAGAGAGGGGAAGACATAGATATATTACATAGATGAATCATTTTGCTAACATTTTAAACACCGTATAATATCTGTGGATGTGGATGAATTAGATCTGTGCGAAAGTTTGCAGTGTTTTTAAAGAATTATTTTTTTATTGTTAATTTAATCATCTAAATTTTCAAATAGAAAAGAGCGCTGTCAACTTTTACACATGTTTAATTCATAACAAACAAAGAAATCTAAAAAGGTCTAACTTTATTTTGTACCATTTAAACTTTTTCGTGGATAAGGCCAGAATGTAAAGACTCGAATCCGAGGATATCTGATATTTCCGAGGTTTTGATTTCTTTTTAATTTTTAACATCATGTTTGAGGATGTGTTTGCGCATGCGTGTGCGTGCGTGCGCTCGAATGTATGTGTGTGCATATATGCAAGTTTATATGGCTACACGCGTCTGTGCGTATATAAATGTTAACGTGTTGTTGTCTCCATGTGTTGGTGGGGCTGTTGACGGGTTATGTTTTATGGTCCCTGTTGTGCACATGAAGCGAAGTGACGTGGTGGGTAGGAAGCCATAGATATTTGAATGTTGCGAAAGGGCGTTGGAAAAGAGGGTCAGGGATCGGACGTAGTCGTAGTAGGTAACGGGTCAGTTTCTGGCTTACGCACCCTAGCCAATGAAACCCAGAAGAATAGAAAAAGCAGAGAAGAAAAAAAGAAAAGAAGATAAAAAGCTCATTTAAAAAAAAAAAAAGAAAAAAAAAACTTGTTTGTCGCAATGACGTCAGTGTTTATCGACTTTGCAAGAAGTGACATCGCAGACGCACAGTTGCACACAGGCACACGCATGCGCGCATGCACACACTCTGAACTGTTAAGGCGATACGGTGTGGTTATCTGCGCATGACAACTCCCGCCACTTCTAGTATGCATGCGTGACTAAATTCTCAACAAATAATCCTCAACTCCCTGAAATTGCAATATCTATGGCCATTTCTCTCAAACTTTATCTTCATCCAAGTTTCCAAATTCTTTTTCAGAAGAATGTGAAGAGCCAAAACTTGCAAATGGCATCAAATTTAGCAATTAAAAGTTAACTTCTCGCCCGATTTGAACACAAATTACTCCCCCAAAATGCTAGTATACCTACCAAAATAATATACACGAGTATATAAATAAAATATATATATATATATATATATATATATATATATATATATATATATATATATATAGATAGATAACTAGACTCGTTCCGAAAAACCCTCGAATTTTTTATTTGCTAATCAAATCAATCTAGAGGGAGAAAAAGGTTTTAAAAAAGAAAGAACTACAAACATGAACTTCTGCCGACAAAAAAATCGCACAGATGCAGGTCTGAAACCCAAAGAAAAAGCCCCGATACGAGTAACAACTAACTACCAAATTAGCTCAATACAACCTAGCAGACCTAGATACACCTAGTGAGCCAGACAAACCTACCTAGGTTTCACCTAAACGGATCGTCAGGGAAAGTTTGGCTTTACATACATATATATATATATATATATATATATATATATATATATATATATATATATATATATATATATGCGTGTATATATATATTTAACAAATACATTCAGTCAATTGCTTCGTCCACCGCAAGGAAAGTTGGCTCCCTGTGCCGCGCCAGGAAATTTTTCTCCTCGGAATCGATCCTCCAGATCTACAAATCAACAATTCGCCCTTGCATGGAGTATTGCTGACATATATGGTCTGGAGCCCCTTCTGTTTGCCTCGGGGTTCTTGATAGGCTACAGTTGGCGGATATGCAATATAATTGGCCCTGCTCTGGCATCTCGTCTACAGTCGTTCTCTCACAGACGCGCCGTCGCCTCTCTCTGTCTGTTTTACAAATACTTTCATGGCAATTGCTCCGATGAGCTGCATTCGTTGGTTCCCAGACTTCATGAGTTCAAGCGCCTCACGAGGCTGACATCCCGCTCTCACCCCTTCACTGTCGAAACTACTCAATGTAACCGTCCAATAGCTTCATGTCTCGCACCTCTCGCCTGTGGAACTCCCTTCCCTATTCCAGTTTCCCTGAGAGCTATAATCTCCACCTATTCAAATGTAATGTCAATCGACATCTCCAGTTGTCTTGATCTATCCATTATCCTTCTCCTCATCCTTTCTTCTATCACTCCTATCTGATCTTGCTCCAAATTTTCTGTAACCCCTTGCGTCCTAGTGGCTTCCCGCCTTGCTTGGTGTGAAACGCTTAATATATATATATATCTAATCATTATTGTCCACCTTCACAATACAGGAAAATACTTGTTGACAACACCACTATATTAAACTACGAAAATAATTTTTTTAAATTTAAAATTCTCGAGACCTTCTATATCAAAATCAAGCAACCAACACTCAACAAAATTTGTTATGAGTCTAGCAGCAACGGGCTGAAGAGCATATAGCAAATATTCAATGCCATTTTGCATTTCTACCAATTTCCAATTTCCAGCCAGCTCCCATATATTGAAAAAAAAATTCCATGGCTACAAGGGATAAATTTAAAATTTTAAAATAATTTTAACAGAGCATGTCCACGCTTCTTTTTTCGTTTATTTTTAAATCACCATCGCAACGTAATGCAGATTATATTACAGTTGCAATAAGTTTGTCTTTGTAATTTACCTGGGGATGATAACGGAGCAGATCGTAATTTACCTGGGGATGATAACGGAGCAGATCGTAATTTACCTGGGGATGATAACGGAGCAGATCGTAATTTACCTGAGAATAACGGAGCAGATCGTAATTTACCTGGAAATGATAACGGAGCAGATCGTAATTTTTACCTGGGAATGATAACGGAGCAGATCGTAATTTTTTGGGACCTGGGAATGATAACGGAGCATATGGGAATTAACGGAGGGATGACCTGGGAACGGGCAGATCGCAATTTACAGGATGGATGGAATGATAACGGAGGAGATCTTAATTTACCTAGGAATTACCTGGGAATAACGGAGCAGATCGTAATTTACCTGGGGATGATATCGGAGCAGATCGTAATTTTACCTAGGAATTTTAACTGGGATGGACGGAGCATTTACCTGGGAATGATAACGGAGCAGATCCTAATTTACCTAGGAATGATAACAGAGATCTTAATTTACCAGATCGTAATTTTACCTGGGATGATAACGGAGCAGATCGTAATTTACCTAGGGAATGATAATTTACCTGGGGATAACAGGTCGTAATTTACCTAGGAATGATAACGGAGCAGATCGTAATTTTTTTACCAGATCGGGAATGATAACGGAGCATATCGGAATTTACCTACCTGGGAATGATAACGGGGCAGATCGTAATTTACCTGGGAATGATAACGGAGGAGATCTTAATTTACCTGGGAATAACGGAGCAGATCGTAATTTACCTGGGGATGATATCGGAGCAGATCGTAATTTACCTAGGAATGTTAACGGGATGGATCGTAATTTACCTGGGAATGATAACGGAGCAGATCCTAATTTACCTAGGAATGATAACAGAGCAGATCGTAATTTTTACCTGGGAATAACGGAGCAGATCGTAATTTACCTGGGAATGATAACGGGGCAGATCGTAATTTACCTAGGAATGATAACGGAGCAGATCGTAATTTTTACCTGGGAATGATAACGGAGCATATCGGAATTTACTTGGGAATGATAACGGGGCAGATCGTAATTTTTACCTGGAAATAACGGAGCAGATCGTAATTTACCTGGGAATGATAACGGGGCAGATCGTAATTTACCTAGGAATGATAACGGAGCAGATCGTAATTTTTACCTGAGAATGATAACGGAGCATATCGGAATTTACCTGGGAATGATAACGGGGCAGATCGTAATTTACCTGGGAATGATAACGGAGGAGATCTTAATTTACCTGGGAATAACGGAGCAGATCGTAATTTACCTGGGGATGATATCGGAGCAGATCGTAATTTACCTAGGAATGTTAACGGGATGGATCGTAATTTACCTGGGAATGATAACGGAGCAGATCCTAATTTACCTAGGAATGATAACAGAGCAGATCGTAATTTTTACCTGGGAATAACGGAACAGGTCGTAATTTACCTGGGGATGATAATGATAATCGGGGCAGATTTTGATAAAAAAAAAAATTTACCTGAAGGAATGATAAAGAGCAGACTCGTTCGTAATTTTGATTTGGGAATGATAACCAATACCAAAAGGAAAAAATGGTATATCGGAACATTTACGTTGCCGAAAGGAATGATAACGGGGCTAAAGATCGTAGTATCCAAAACACCTAAATAAATGATAACGGAGGAGATCTTAACAGACAAACCTAGGAATAACGGATCGCAGATCGTCTGACGATTTACCTGGGGATGATATCGGAGCAGATCGTAATATATACCTATATATATATAACGGAGCAGATCCTAATTTACGTAGGAATGATAATAGAGCAGATCGTGTTTTTACCTGGGAATAATGGTTTGTTGCAGGTTCTTAAATAATTTTAATCCTAAGGGGATGATAAGCAGAATGTTTTGTTTTAAAAAACTTGAGTCCCTATTCAGTGATATTGCATATGCATATAACTCCCTTCATCGATTCTGCTATCATCTCTAAACTAGATCCCCTGAAAGCATATAGACTTGATGGTATTCCTGCAATAGTCCTTAAGAAATGTGCTCCCGAACTAGCTCCTGTTCTCTCTAAACTCTACAATTACTGTCTTTTGCTTTCTGGCTTATTGGAAATCGTCTTCTATCGTTCCTGTCTTTATGAACTCCGTCGAACAATCTGATTCTTCTAACTATCCGCCTATTAGCTTTCTATCATTTTTTTTGGCCAAGTTCTAGAGGCTATAATCAAATCTGAATTGGTTAAGTAGGGTCTTCTTTCAGATAAGCAATATGGCTTTCTGGTTTTCACTTCTCTATGTACTGCTGATGTGTTAATGGTTATTGCAGAAAGAGTCTATCAAGCTTTAGATAAGAATGGTGAAGCTCGATTTGCTGCTTTGGATATCTCGAAC